ACGACACATGCACGTATTTACCGAAAGTTGTCGTGTGCAGTCTGTGCAGGAGAGGCCAACCGACTTTGAACACCTGTTTGAGCTTCCAGATGGGCAGAAGGCAGGGTGGTGAGAGAGCGAATGCGGCAAATGGAAACAGTTGTACACGTGTTGCATGTGTTCAGGTCAGCTTGGTGGCGGAAAGATTCCGAGTTCCGGAGGCCAAATTGCTATAGGACATGTCGATGTGGTTTGGCTTGAAGCGGCAGGTCATGTTTGATCCCATGATTTCCGGTCGGGAGCTACCTGGGCCGCTCCACTGCAATTCGGCACTCGGGCCCAGAAGTGCACTCAGATCCGGACCCATGACTAGACGAAACGAGGAGGCTAGTGAAAATGCGCAAGAGCAAACCCTCGGGTGCTATGAGAGTTTCGAGCCACGACGAAGCAACGCAGCTGAGGCTACATAAATCTGTTCATCAATGTGTGCAGGCGTGCTTGTTTGGCAATCATCACTTTTTCGAAGAGCCCGTCAGGCCTGCGACATTGATTTGAGAAAGGATTTGTTCAAAAACATCGTGCTCAGTGGAGGAGTGCTTCATGGAGAGCGGGAGAGCGGGAGAGAGAGAGAAAAAGAGAGAAACAGAGAGAGAGAGAGAGAGAGAGAGAGTGAGAAGCTCAGAGTGAGTGAGCGTTTTCTGCTTTGAGGAAACACCATGTTTCCCGGTATAGCCGAGCGGCTTGAATCCGAGCTGCAGGCCCCGCATTTTTGTTTTCTCCCGGCCGAAGGGTCATGAGTCGAACCTTGCAGGCCTTGGCGCCTCAGAAGATCAACGTCAAGGTGGTGGCGAACCCGCAGAGAAGGCGCAAGCGTGACGAGTGGAGTGGAGGGTGGGTCAAAAGGTCGCGAAACATGGGATGACCATTGGGAAACCGCTAAAAGATATGGATATTTTTCAACCATGGTACTTTGCGGAGATGGCTTTCTTCACAAGTGTGGTGATTTCTCCAGCACCTCGCTGGTAACAAGTTGTCCACGACCGTAGCGCACGGTCGCAAGCTTCTGCATTGAACCAGCAATCGTGACATGTTCTCAATGGCACGTGCCTTTGATACATGCTCAATCTCGGAATGACCAGCCGAAGCTTCTCGCTTCGCCATGTTGGGAGTGCTTCGACCGGCGGCTCACGGGAGTCGGAGCATTGCCACTCTCGAGAAGTATCACGAGAACGGGTTTTGCTTCCCCTTGCCACTCTTCTCCAGTGTGGGCAAACCTTTCTCCGAGACCTTCTTTCCCCGGTACCAGACATTTCGCAACCGATGCTTGCAGCAAGGACTTTGGTCTGAGTATCGTTTCAAGTCGCACTTGCTCCTGCCGTGGCTGCACGACCTTTTGGTGGGTAATGACAGGCTCAAAGACGCAGCTTGCGCATTGCTACAGACTGACACGGTGCTTATTTGGTCCACCGATTGGTGCGTGAAGCCAAGGTCCTCCCCGGAGCACTTCACTTGGCATCAGGATTCTACGTACAGCAAATTTGGGAACGACGCAGCAACAGTTTGGCTCGCTTTTTCTCAGGTCGGAGAGCACAGTGGCCCTTTGCTCTTTCGCTCCAAGTCTCATCTGTTGGGGCAGCTGCCTCACTCAGAGAGCACAGATGTGTCAAACTTGCTGGCCTTTGGTCAGTACATCCCAGATACATCGAGAAGTCCAGCCTCCGAAGTGGAATGGACAGAGCTCGAAACTGTTCCAGCATACTTACAACCAGGCGAAGCGTCCGTGCACAGCTTTTTGACCATCCACAGCAGCCAAGCCAATCAAGAACAACAGGACCGAGTGGGCCTCGCAATTCGCATTGTTGCAGCTTCAGCGGGAGTTCATCGCCATGACCGTGTGACCCATCTTTGTGGGACGGGCAATGTGTACAACTTTGAGCTCGAAGATGCCCCACGTGAGGAGTTTGGCAGTAAGGAGCTGGCATCATGGAACGCATCCATGGAGAGGGAGAAGGCGATGTACTTCTCTGGCCAGGATCGGTCGTACAAATGAGAGCAGATTTTCGCAACCTCTGACGTGCCGAGATGGGCAGCAAAACCACGAGCCACACACTCAACTCATGTCAGCCTCCTCGGAGATGCCTTTTCGCTCGCGGACAACGAAGCCACGAGGTGATTGTGCTCGAGAGCGCGTGTAGAAGGAATAGCAGGCATTCAAAGCTCCGAGACCTATTTCAAAGTGGGTGCAGGTGGTTGCTACTTCAAAGGTGGCAGAATTGCACATCCATAAATTTTATTTCTGTTAAATTGGACTCAAGCGCTAGGTCGTGAGTGACAAGATGGCAGATGGCGGAGAAACAGTCCTCCAGCTCTACTTGCTTGACTTCTGACCTCGTTTGACAGCACTATTAGGGACAACAGGAGCAGGCAACATAAGCAACAGCTGCACAACTGTCCAGCTGCCAGCTCCACTTTTTTGATTACTGAATATCAAAGCACGGCAGCTTGGCAATCGTTATTTGAAGAGTCTAAGGCTTACCCTTTCATGAGGTCGAAACTTCTCTTGGAAACGCCCGCTATGGCATAGAATATCTTCACCGGTCCATCTTTTAATCGTCTAATTTGGTCACGGCCTCATCCACGTCTTTGCCCCCAATTGGGTGCGCGGGAGATGTTTGATGCGAACGAACGGAGGTAAGACAGGCCGTTTCTTCACCCAACCACATCGTCTTCCTTCATTTAGTTCTCTCATTTGGTTCGTTTGCAGGAGAGGTTGGGTGATAAAAAATGGAAAGGAAGCCCTTGACATCTTGCTCAGGGAATAGAGACTCATGACTTGGATAAGGGATTTACAAGCCTCCATGTGAGCAAAAAGCGCTGGAAGGGAAGGGAGCGTGTTTTTGAGAGTTGATTTCCAGTGAATGATTACTAAGCGAGAGGGTCGCGAGAGAGAGAGAGAGAGAGAGAGAGAGAGAGAGAGAGAGAAAGAGAGAGAAAGATGGCCAGCCGTGTCTTGAGAGTCTTTATGTGGCACAGGGTTCCAACGGAGGTACATTGTTTGGATGGGTGCATCCATTCTGTCCCAGCTGTCTAGCTTCCACAACATGCTGATCTCGCAGGGGACCCAAGGTGTTGGCTTGCAATTTAGACAGCCATTGCCGCCAAGGAAGCAGGAATATGATGATGTCGGCCCTGCGATTGTTCACAGTAAGTGCTTCTAGAGTGGACGCACCTTATGGATGTGCTCTCGTGCAGAGTCCGTGTGCAAAAACATTTGGCCAGGCCAAAGTGCTTTGGCAAGAGTCAGAAGGTTGTTTCCGACGAGATGCGAGTGAAATTTCCTGCTTTTGTGCTGTATAGCACAGAGCACAAGCTATTCTATCCTCTTTGCCGCAGTTGTGAGACAGTGGCTGTGGGCGAATTTTCAGGAATCCTTGGCTCAAGGCGGGCTCAAGCAAGCCCTGCAAGCCTGAATGAGGTTACATGGAAAGGACACTTCCAACACTACACATTGTGATTGTGCGGGCTAGCATGATTTAGCATCGACTGAGCTTCCAGTTGGTGCTGAGCTGGTTGTCAAAAGCACAACATTCATTAGGTGCGTGCAGGTCTGTCCTTGAGGCACTGGGCAATTGAAATGCTCAAGTTGCTTCAACTGGGCACTGGGCAGCCACAAAGCTTTCGGGCATTTGCTGTAGGTCAATGCTGCTCAAAGCTCCTGCGCTGTCTGTAGTTCCACTCCTGGTCAGCTCAGATTTGCCAAGCGCCTTCATGCAAGAACGTGGCCGCCTGGACAGGCTCCTGGGGATTGTTGTGCACTGGCAGCAGCCAGCAAGCCATGCAAGTCAATCTTCGACGAGGACGGTTTGGGGCTCATGTGCCGCCTTGTCCAGAAAACGGGGCAGCTGCAGAGTAATGAGCTGATCACATTTGGAGAGGGATAACGCGGACCCCAAACGAATCAATAAACATAGGGGGGTGTCCCTGGGTTTGGTGGGGAATCATCACTTTTGGAGGGTTGATAAACTGGGGTGGATGTGTACGGGGTCAACATTAAAGGTGCTAGACAGCAAGTAGAAAAGTGAAGGCCTTGTGCCCATGTGAAGGTCGCGGCGAAGCTGCGCTTGAAAGGTTGAGGGTAAGCCTACGATTGTACCATTTATTTATTTTTCATTTGAGTTTGCAGAAGCTTTTCCTGGAGCCCCTCTGAGTTCTGACATGCCGGTGTTGGCTTGGGAGTCCGGTTCATTCGCATCACTTGATTTTGATTCCGATGCTGGAAGATACACATTATGCGTCCACATTTGTGGGGCACGAAAGGCTCAAGGTGTTTCAGTTCTCACTTGGTCTCACACAGCTTGCGGTGCTTTTTGGGTGTGAGACACCTTTTGGAGAGGCATGGAATACGGGCCAGGACAGGATATGGGCTGAACTTTTGGCCTCATTCCCAGAATGCGGCACTCGCTTTCGGGCATGCGGCTTCGTCGGACCAAGGTGGATCACTTCAGTGCCGGTCTGCTTCTGTACCGAGACGCTGCACTTGCTTCAAGTACCCCTCAGGTCAGTGCTTTCTGACAGCTGTGCATTCTCTTGGCTTTTTGCGGACGAAAGGTCTCAATTGGCCAGAGTTCGAAGAACCGCTGCGCATGTCGCCTGCCATCTTGCAAGGTCCAAGCCTCGGGCAGAGATGCGGGTCGCTCAGCTTCCGATTTTTTTTCGAGACCTTGGCGAGTCAGTTTGATTCGAGGGCCGGGAGGAGCTCCTGGCACTTTGCGAAGGCGGAGCCCGCCAGGCGCGGGGGTGATTCCATCAGCCTCAATAGGCAGATGGTGTTCCTTTATGAGGATATATAATTGGACCAGCTCAAAATGGCTCAAACTGGGTTGTTGTTTCCTTTGGTTTCCCGCCACCGAAAAAGGGATATTTCCTCCAGAGACGAGCCGCCCATATTTGAGATACACTCAAGATACGAGCGTAAGGCCTACAAGCAGCTGGTGGCTGTGGATTGCGAGCCCTTCGTCTTGCAGCCACGAGCGCGTGCTGGCCTCGAGCGATTTGGACAACACCTGCTGGTGCGATAGGTAGGGAATGGACGAGCCCGGGTGTTGGGAATGAGCCAAAGGAAACCACAGGGGGTCATTCCAATTCCCATTCCCTGCTGGGAACCCGCCAGAATCAGGAATGAAGAGCCAGAATATATCCCTGGCTCAATTTCTTGCCAAGTTGTTTTGCTATCCCGGGGCATCTGACTCGAAGGGTTGTCCAACTATCTGTCTCTCCAGCTCACGGATTTGAAGCCCAGCAGTCCAGAAGCTCCATACCACTTTTCTTTGGTCTACTTGCCGCAGTTCAAGCATTGCAATGGGCGAACGACCTTGAGCTTCCTGCGGAGCGCATTGCAGAGACTGCAGAGGCCTGATCTTGGAGATTCACGAGCTCCGAGATTGGAACAGGCACATACTTGCAGCTGCTTTTTGTCAAATGGAATCATGGCAGTGTCACTTGATGGCAGGCATTCGCGAACCCTCCTCAGTATGCGGCAGGCATGGCTGGTTTTGAACCAACTAGGATCGGTGGAACGGTGGAACGTGGAGCTTGCAATGATTCCTGCCTTTGCAGGCAGAGCGTATCTCAACAGTGTTGGCCAACCATGATGCAGCAACGAGGCAGGTTTTGTTCTTCTTCTTCTTCTTCTTTTCTTTTTCTTCCAGCCAGGCTTCTTCACTTGCGCAAGTCGTTTTGATTCAGACCGGGTAGCTGATACCCAGCTACCCTCTAGCCAAATGACTGCATGCATTGCTATGAAGTTTCCAAACAACTGCGGAATGTATTTCGAGTCCCAAGCCCAGCTTTCACCTCGAGCAAACGGATATGGTTCGCCTTCTTCTGCCCACACTTTGTCACATGGTGCCTCCAAGTGAGATGTACTTGACACCCGCGCGTGACTTACTTAAGCTGCAACACATGAGAAAGTGCTCGCCGGATCCGCACGTTTACCTAGACTGGATCGACATCTGTGCGGTGGCAGAATCTAGACAGCATACTCGTTCCGTCACATGACATGACGTGGTGTGCAATGCCTGCCACACTAGCAAACCGCACGGGTGGTGCTATCATACTATCAATGCGCATTGCTTTCCGCAACATGCCAAGCATTTCATGATTCAGGATTTCAATCAAGAGGATCCGCGATTCAATACACAGCGCATAGTGCAGGCGTCTCGCGCATTGCGTGCGCTTCAAGGTCTCTTTGGCAAAACAAGGCCTGTCAGAGTGCCTAGCTTCTTGCAACCCAATGAACCTATGCTGCACATTCTGCTTCATTTGTAGATGCTCCTTGCCAAAGCTGCTTTCAGATCTCTTGATGCAAGTCTGTTCAGAATGGAATGCACCGTTTGTGGTTAGCTTGGTGGGTGTGTGAAGGAGCCCGCTTTTGGGATCCTTTCTTTGCATTGGGCTTGTATCGTGTGCTCTTCAACTAGCTTCAAGGTGTACAAGAGATCACACATCACAGTGGCATGCAGTGTTTCGCATTGCCAATGTGCAAAAGGACCTGACAAAACACCTATGAAGGCTGATTCTCTGAGCTTGCAAGTTGTGAACACGAAAGTGCTCGGGGGTCACAGGTTTTGTGTCGAAGCTTGCCCACCATGCGAGACACAAGAGGCGGCTGCGCAGAAGGGCGCATGGAAGGCTTTGGGACTGCGTCGACTGTGACGCGCCAGACTCGGATTTCGTGAGCTCTTGGCTGGGAGCAGCGGAGCTCCCGTCACCCAAGGGCGGGCTGGTGACTCAACCAGCGAAGTGCGAGCCAAGAACAAGGTCTTAGGAAGGGGAGTTCCCGCGAGCTATGGCCACCGCAGCTCCTTGGAGGAGAGGTCGATGCCCGCGCATCGCCTATGGCCCAGTCCCCTTAGCTGGGCGGAAGCTAACAGCCCTTCGCGTTGCGGGCAGGTGCCAACCACTGCGGCCAGCGGCGGTTTGTACGAAAGACCCTGGCTGGGGTCACGCCTGCTGCGTCGCCATAATGCGTTCCTCCAGCCAGCTCAGCTTTTGCGCTGGCGAGGGACTGCTTTTGCTGCTCCTTGCAGGTTCGCTCCGACCTTGAGCCAGCCTGCGCGCCGCGCGCTCCCGGCTTGCCAAGACTGCCGCGCCTGGGGGCACCAATCAGTCGCGGTGTCTGCCGGGGTTTTATGCAGGGAAGCAGCGCAGAGGAAGACGCGCGCGAGCGCACAGCGCGCGTAAGGCCGCAGAAGTTGGTGCCTGATTAAACAGTCAACATGTCACTCGTTTCATGTTAGCCGGGCCTAGGGCTGATGTCTCACCCTAGGCATGGTTTCATCGCCCCACATGTTTCTTGTCTGATTGGTGTTCCTTTTGGTCCCTGTCTTGATACCATTGGGCAGTTTTAAACCGTGTAGCTCGGGTAGTTTGGCCGTGTCGGTTTCTTTTTCCTTTCTGGCTGCTACTGGTCACGATGACTTGAATACGCGTCCCAGGAAGTAGTGTTAGCAGCTCTGGCAACCATGCCCTGTTATGGCCTAGCGGTCAATGGATTCGATGGACAGAAAAAGCAATTGCAGCAGAATGCAGGGAACCCAATGTTTGGTTCCAAGTTGTTTTGCAGGGAGCCAGGGGGTCCTTCTTGAACCAATGCTCGAAGGGACGAATCTGAGTTGACGCTTGGTTGGAGCGGACAACGTGTAACATACCTGGAGATTCCAGGCTGAGAGATGCGATGCTTCCAGAGACCTTGGAACTCATCGCGTTGCAGGTGAGGGGCGCGATGTGTGGGCATATGAGGGTTGATCAAATTTCTATCCTTTACATGGGATACGGTAGGCATCAAACATATATATATATATATATATATATTAGGCATGAAAAACATATTAGGAATCAAAAGAAACTCTGTAGGGATCAAACAACAACTTCTTCTCATTACTCTGGGGTAAGGAGGGAAGGAATGAAGGAAGGAAAGGAAAGGAAAGGAAAGGAAGGGAAGGAAGGAAGGAAGGAAGGAAAGGAAAGGAAAGGAAGGAATGGAAAGGAAAGGAATGGAATGGACAGGAAAGGAAGGAAAGGAAAGGAAGGAAGGAAGGAAAGGAAGGGAGGAAAGGAAAGGAAAGGACAGGAAAGGAAAGGACAGGAAAGGAAATGAGAGGTTCTCAAGATCGGTTTCAGGAATCGGCGCATTTTCACAAACCGCAATTCGAAGGAT